GTGCATTTTTGTTATAAGCCCAATAAGGGTGTACATCTTCTCCGCAAATGAAGGCAACTTCTAGCTGGCCTAGCATTCTTTTTATACCCCGTACCAAAAGGGGAAAAAGGTTTTATTACGTTTGTGCAAAGTACATGTAAGTAACAGGCAGAAGGAGGCATATCCGAAAAATATATACATATACTATATTCCAAATCAGTAACGAGATGAATCGATATAGCCATGTCCATCCGTCCGTCTATCTATCTGGATGAACGCGTAGACTGACCAAACTTGGTAAGTACAAAATTTCCTCAATACTGTTGTCTATTATACCGTAGCTACTTGAAGCCCGAACTTCACACACGTAATTTTAATTAAATCTCTACTTTTGTTTGAAATTTCGTTCAAATCGGACAGTTCGAATAAAAGTTATTAGCGATTTATATTTAATTTAATTCCAGTACTAAGTCCACAATCCGCAGTATCATGTTAGCTCTTCTTCTTCTTTTTGCTTCTGATATGGTCGCATTTAATGCAGAGGCGGAAGTTTGTTCGGGTACAGGGTATTTCACCTGTAGAATTCTCTCTTGCTTAAATTGATACTTTGATACAAAATACCCTTGATGAGAAGGAAACGGACAGAAAAGCTCACTCTCGATGATGGGAGAGGCTTAGGCTGTCACGTTTAATTTTTTCGGTGTTCCATGTAAGTGACAAAGTCGGAACGGAAATATATGTGTGTACCCCACTGTGTACAGACACATCGATCACAGAACACCCACAAATAGGAAATGCAGCAGGAGGACTGCGGCACTTATACTCGTATGCAAAGCGAAAGCCATCAGACTGTTTTTGCAGAGCTACGCTGTTTTCTAATGCTCCCACAACAAGACCCGAACAGAAGACCACTGTCTGTGCTGGGACCACACAATCAGCGTCAGATTGGGAAATGCTAAGGCGTTGTCGGCGTTTCAAACAAATGCTTAGCAATTGAACGCAAACAATCGAACGCATCTGAACAATGCGAGTACAGCCGGGGTCCTCAGGAGTTTGCCAATCTCGGCTATGCCCAGAAATTGCGTCTGCCACAACACTTTAAAAACACGCGTAGACTGTAATGAGGTCCAGCGCAAGTGCAGCCCAATGAGTTTCTAATGAAAACAAATCGACCGAAAAAACAACAAGATAGGATAGAACAAGGCAGCCAGGACGACGGCAAATATCAAAAGGTGTGCGCCTGATGTAACTGAGTCATGCGAAAAGAGGACGTCGCGTAGGTTGTTGCTGCCACCGATTATGAGAGGACCAGACAATACGACTGAGTCGGGGCTGTGGCAAAGACGAAAATGCTAGGGATCTGGAAATGTACAGCATTAAAAGTAGTATGTGTGTGTGTGTGTGTGTATGGACAGTAGTGTGAAGGGTACGGAGTCTCGTTCAGGTGACAATGACAATGCGCAGCAACGTGTGCGACATTTTTCCTAAGGCCCGCTGTCGAGCTCGACCAACCGGTAGCTCGGCTCTGGACAAACCTACTGACTGTCAAATCAATAGCGGGGCGGGGAGCTCAGCATTGTTTCCAAAAACCACACGCAAAGCCGAACGATGACTTTAAAAATGTTTGCAGAACTTTCGTTCCACGAGAGAGATGGTGTGCTGTATTGTGCATTGGTGACAAATAAAAGCGGCCGCTTCTGCCACTGCTGACGTGAGGGCCAACGGCCTTGCTCTGTAGGTGGATTAGAAGACTATTTTGGACCTCTGCTTTTGTCTCTTTGTTGCCGTGCCACATCTCAACCATAGTAAATTAGTTAATGAGTGTGGGAAAAAGTAATACTCGCATTATAGTGGTCTCTTTGATGGACACCGCCGTGAGTGTGCGATTCCTAATACCTCTCATTCTTTCCCTAACAATCACCGACTCCTTCAATTAATTGATAGCTAAAACAATTGGCTGAAACAAATTTTTATTTACATACCAAATTTGCTCAATGTGGGCTTAGCCATTTCCAAAGTCCAGGCGGACAGATGAACATGTTTTGGTCCACTTTTCTCGTCTCGGTTAAGCCCACATTGACCAAATATATGTTTATTATATTTATATAATTCACAATTTTACTTTTCCCAGTAAAAACAAGTAAAAAAGCTAAAGTCGGGTGTCCCGACTTTGAAATACTCTGTACATATGTTTAAAATAATTATAGAAATTAAAACAAGATAGAACGCTACAGTCGAGCAAGCCCGACAGTAAAATAGCCTGTACTCTCCACAAAAAGGAAAAATTAAAAAAAAATAAAATTTTTTTTAATTAAATTATTTAAAACAAGCGAGAACGCTACAGTCGAGCAAGCCCGACAGTGTAATACCCTGTACCCAGGTAAACTTCCGTCACTTAGTTATATGCGCCCAAAAAAAGCAAAAACAGGAAGAAGAAGAGCGAACTTGTTGCTGCAGTTTGGGTGGTTGTACTGGCGAGAATTTGTTTCGCTAATAACTTTTCTTAGAATTGACAGAATTGAAAAAAATTGAACAACAGTAGACAATTATAAATAATTTATGTGTGCAATGTTTGGTTTAGGTAGCATTTGAAATGTGGACGCTATTGACGAAATTCTGTAGCGGGGGAAGGGGCGGAAAATTAAAAAAATAAAATAAACTAATCCTTACTCGGACCTAGGAGAATCTGGATGCCAACTTTGGTTATTCTAGCTTTTATAGTTTCTGAGATCCTCGCGTTCATCCAGACGGACGGACAGACGGACGGACAGACGGACGGACATGTCTAGATCGATTTCTCTCGTCATGCTGATTCAGAATATATATACTTTATGGGGTCGGAGATGCTTCCTTCTGCATGTTACATACTTTGCACAAACCTAATATACCCTTTTTACCCTACGGGTACAGGGTATAAAAATGAATGAATTAATTAATTAAAATTAATTAATCAAATTAAATTAGAATACATGTTTATGTTCAGTTTTAACAGCATACATTTACATCACGTACCTATGCGTGTTTATATGCGTGTATGTATGCAGCACAAAGTTCAACAAAAGCAGCAACAACAGCTGCGGGCAGCGCTGCCGACAGAGCTGCAGGCAGCGCATGAGCAGCGATTTTACTTATGGCTATAACTTTCTTCAGAATTGACCTATCATGATGAAATTTGGCACACGGACACATTAGTACTAACTGGATGTACCTACCAAAATGTAATCAAAATTCCGAGAATTACGGAAGTTATAAGAAAAAACACAAATTGCGGGGGAGTGGAGGGGTGCATCAGAAAAAAAAACACAAACTCGCCCTTTCTTGGACTTAGGAGCACCTGGATACCAAGTTTGGTTATTCTAGCTCTTATACTTTCTGAGATCCTTGCGTTCATACAAACGGACGAACAGATGTGGGGTCTGCCACGCCTCCTTCTGTGTGTTACATACATGCGCATAAAAGTAGTATAGCCTTTCACCCTTTCGGTACAGACTATAAAAAAAATTTTGGATCGATTTTACCGCTTTGGGTATTCGAACTCACGTAAAGGGTGTATAATTGCACATATACAAAGCAATTGCGTCTACGTGAGTGTATGTATGTTTATGCTCGTATATTCGTGTCTGTGTAAGCATGTTCGCAGTCAACCAAAGCACCAGCATCAACAACAGCGCTTGAGCAGCGCTGCAGCAGCAAATATATTTATAACTTCTTGATAAATCGTTCTATGATAGTGAAACTAGGCAAACGGACAGATAATAACCAACTGGGGGTATTTCCAACATTTTAGTTCGAAATTGCAAGAATTACGGGAGGTAGAGATTTGTCGGTGGAGAGGGGGGAGGGAGGGATATTCAAAAATATACATTTTCTGCTTATTCACATTAGGCATCTGTGACTAAATTTGGTGTTCCTAGGTCTTATAGTCTCCGAGATATAGGCGATTATACGAATGGAAAATCGGGAAAACCCCCATAGGGGTGAAGTTGATGGGTGGGGGGGGGGGGGGGGGGGGGGAATCAAAAAAATAAAACAAACTCGTATAGAATACACAAATAAGGCATCTTTGTGCAAAATTTGGTGTCTCTATCTCTTATAGTCTCTGAGATCCAGGTGTTCATACGGACGGACAGACGGACGGACGGACAGACAGGGCTAGATCGACTCGTATTGTTACGCTGATCAAGAATATATATACATTGTGGGGTCTGCCACGCCTCCTTCTGCCTGTTACATTTTTCAGCTCCCGCAAACCTAATATACGTCTGTACATTTCATGTACAGAGTATAATTATTAAGAAGAAAGGAATGCTAAAGTCGAGCAGGCTCAACTCTCAAATACCCTGTACTACCCCACAAAAAAGAAATTAAATTAATTAAATAAATTAATTAATTAAATTAAATTAATTAACTAAATTAATTTAATTAATTAACTAAATTAAATATTCCATGCATGCATACATACATTTACATTTACATCAGAATCGTGCCTTATGCGTGTTTGTGTACTTGTACATATGTATGTATGTGTGCATTGGGCATGGTTATATGGCTGTAACTTTCTTTCTGATCAACCTATCATAATGAAACTTGGTATACGGATATATAATTACTAACTGGATGTGTCTACCAAACGGACATGGCTATATCGATTCGGCTTGTCATGCTGATCAAGAATATATATACTTTGTGGGGTCTACCAAGCCTCCTTCTGTGTGCTCCATGTGCACTCGCACAAAACTAATATACCCTTGTACCCTTTGGGTACAGGGTATAAAAATTCAAATAAGAAACTTGGTTTTAAAGTTTACAAACTCGTACTGTGCACTTTTGTATTCTGTTTTGTCCGTCGCTCTGATTTTCTTGGGGTGTGCATCACATTTAACTTCATCACCCGTTTAATATTTTAGATAGTAAGCTCATTGAAATAATACTAATATTGTGAGAGTCAAGTATTTTACATTCTATAACATTTCGCAATCCTTAATTCGCCTAATGTCTATACAAACAAATAGCCGAAAATATCAACGACAAAATATGTTATTATATTTATGGGTAGAAAGCCTCGAAGAAAACATGGAAAAAATGCAAAGTTTTTTCTTGGCAATAACATCCAAATAGAACTGGTGTTACTGCAAGTATAATAGTTCACCTATCTATTCTCCCCAGTTGCAGCTGGGCCAAACAAAATATCCAGATGAGTAGGTGCTATTTGTATGAATCGAGTTGCAAGCAATGGATTCCGCGCATATAAAACGTTTCTTTTCGGAACAATCAGCCATGGCAATAGTAAAGGAGTCTGTCACTGGCTTTATGTAACCACATTGCCTGTTTCCATCAGTGTCTGTATTTCCACTTTCAGGAATGAAACGAACCGGCAAATTATTTCCCACATACTTCAATGAATTGCTTAGAAAGTGGTTTAAGCCAAACCAATATTCAGTTCGGTCGCCACCCTGCAAGTGCCAAGTCAATATACTGAAGTGCTCCTTTTTATTCAAGTCGGCCAGACATAGTCCATTTTCTTGACATATTTGTAGGGCTGTACTCCAATCTGTCTGTATTAGAATATGTTGGTCAAATATATGTGTGCTCAGCTACCACTACCATTCACCTCCTTAGTGCTAAAATAATGGCAAACTCCTCTTGCATTCACCTTGGCGACATTTATACACAGAAATAACATCTTAAAGACAATCAGACTCTGAGCTGTGTTACGTACTTTTAGCTCCATGTTGCTGCGAGTGATGATTGTTTTCCACAACAGTGAAACGCATTTATATTGAAGCGTTTGAAATGACATTAGGTATGGACTAATAGCTTATATTTTGAATTGGGGAAATGTTAAGAAACCGGACCAGCTGAACTATATATTCCTATAAGACTCTGTATTCGATGCTTGCAAACGGTATCATTTTGAACCCGAACGGTAAAAGGGGTATACATATTAGGTTGTTGTGAGAACAATATATGTATGTACATACATGTGTACGATATATTATTAATCAGCTTGACGGGAGAAAGCGATCAAGACACGTCCGTGTCCGTGTGCCCGTCTGTCTGGATGTTGGCTTGGATTTCAAAAACGGCTTATCATATGCTGATCAAACTTGGTAGGACTACACCTTGGTATGGTCTCCTCCCCCAGGCAATATAAATGGTTTTTTCCCCTTCTCCACTATAAAGTTTCGTGAATACTAATCAATCTTACCACAGGTTTTTAGCCTGACCCGGTATTCCGCAAACATGAAAATGGAAATCTGGTAACAGCAGGTGAAGACGAACAAAGTTCTTCTGACAGAAGATGAGAATAAAAGAGAACGTTAGAGTCGAGCAAGACCGATACTAAAATATCCTGTACCCAGACAAACGTCTGGCACCGAGTTATATGTCTGAGTTTGGTAGCCCCGCAAAGCAAAATTAACAGAAAGTGGAAAGACATGGGTTTGCTGGTAAAAATAGACAAGACAAAATACTTCCTATCTATCGTCTTAATAGATAGCTATCACTTTGATGTTGTAGAGTATTTAGTATATCTAGGAATCTATTAACAACAATAATGACGTCAGCTTGGATGTTTGCCGGCTGGTATTCTTTGTTATCCAGTTCTACTATGGCCTCAGTAAACAGTATATGAGTAGAACCCTCTATCGCTGCACCCGACAAACTCTCTACAAGCCCTATATATATTCCCTTCCTCTTTTACCGCGCGAAGCATGGACGCTTAGATAAGGCGACACTAGGGGGTTTCGAGAGAAAGATCCTTAGAGGAATCTTCGGCCTATTTAACGTTAATATCAAGTTTCGAATACGGATGAACTGTATCAGCTATAAGTCGACATTGACGTAGTCTATTCAGACAACGACTGCATTAGTTCGATATTGTAGTCCGCATGGATAAAAGTGAATTTTTTGATCTTGCTTAGTACTAAACATAACATATGCACTTACAGGGTGCGCCATCTTTTATGTCGGTATGTAAACATTGAATATCTTTGAAAATAAACAACCGATTTTCAAGTATGAGATATTTTATTTAATTTGGTTCTGTACAATTTCTTGAACTGGGGTTGTAACACTGGTCTACTCAAGTCAATCGGTTTACTTATGACAAAGTTATACAATATTTACATACCGACATAAAAGATGGCGCACCCTGTATTATTTTAGCAATGTATAGTTACAAAAGGCAGTAAGGTAAGGATATTTAAATTGACAATAAAAACATTTCTTTTTATTCAGATATTACCCTTATTAATTACCAAAGGGGCCTAATTACGTGAAGATAAAAGAGGCGTAGCCAGCAACATTTGTGCAAGCCCTTGGTAGCTCGCATCTGTGCTCCATTAGCACATTTATACGTTCACACCTTATCCTTGAGAGAGGACCCAGTCATCTACACTTGTCAGTGCCAAGCGTTGAGCAAGGCGCACAGTAAATGCATTTAGTATTAAAATTCTGGCTCCATAAGTGGTTTATGCACAACAATGTTGCTCCAGCCAGAACAAGTTGGACGCTGCCGTGATTAAGCGTCCAGGCCAGATAAACCAGCACTGCAATCGGTCCATTAACAATGTTGTCTCCCCTCTTCACCAACTTCAAATGTTATCATTCATAATTTTGCACGCTTGCGATTTTATTGCCGTGAAATTGCCAATAATTACGAGCAGGCGAGCAGGAGATGGTTAGTTAAGCAGGATGGACAGGTGAGATGGGTGAAGCTCATCAAAACGTTGATGCGTTAATAAGGATATGCGAGTGGCTTGGACTGGCCCTTTAAAGATCTATTCGGATTAATCACCATTTCTGCTGTCTTTGAACTTGGCAGATACTTGGCCTCATTACGCTATTTGCCCTTAAGCGGCTCGGAACCTGTAACTTCTGCTTCGCGACACTAATTTCAGAATTTTTATGAGTTGGCTTAAGATGCTTGTTGGTTTCGTAAGTTTTGAGCAACTTTTGTGCTATATAGTAACAGATTTTAGGAAGCTGTCTGTACGTTGTTTTTATGCAATCGATAGGGGTGGAAAACTTGGATTACAATTATTTTACTCAGTACCCATTAAAAATACCATTTGAAAAAAAAGTGAAGAAACCACAACAATTCAAGCCCAAGACCAATTTCAAAAAACCGAGTATGCAGTTTTATTTGTTGTTTGGTCATTCGGCCAAAAACAGCCGAAACCGGCAGCACATTATAGTTAATAAGTAACGTAAATAACTCAATATAAAGTGCTCGTTTTCTTGTCACTTGCTTTGCATAGCAAGCTGAGCACTTAACGTTTCCTTTTGTTGCTTGCCATAAATTTGCATAGGATGCTGCGCAGCCGCCACATAAGCGCATACATTTGTATTCTTTTATTTGTTTTAGAAACCACGTTTTAGGTCGATCGGTTGAATAATGTGGATTTTTAAAACAAACTTTGGAGCGCGTTTCCCCCCTCTGGAGCTCGAATTTTCAAAATCCCTTCCTAGTGCGAACCGACACTATGAAATTTCAGCTTCCTAGCTTTTACCGTTTGGGCTGTGGGCTGTTGACGCGGTTTCCTTTTGTGCCTCAACATTTTTTTGCAGGAAAACTCCCATATTTCACGCCCTAAGCAAAATCTCAAAAAGCCAAGTATGCAGTTTTTCTTAAAATTTTTCTAAGAGTATACAAACTAAGTTTGAAGTTGAGCAGACGTAAATTTTAAATTTTTCATACAAGCGTTGGAGCCTGTTTTCCCCCTTCGGAGCTCAAATGTTCCAAAATCGCTTCTTATCGCCAGCCTACGCTATGAAAGGATACTTGAGTCCAAATTTCAGCTTCCTAGCTTTTACCGTTTGCTGTGCGTTGATCACCAATAGGTCAGTCAGGACAAACTGCTTTATATATGTACATATATAGATTATATTGACAGGGGGATACTTTTAAATTGGAGCAACGCTTTTGATTTTTTTTTTATATTTTCTGAATTGTTATTGCCCATTGGATTTTTAATTACCACAAAGAGATATGTATATATATTAGGTACATGTATACTATCAAGGTCAAAATATAGAAAAAACGACCTGAGGAGGTATTAGAGCTAGGACAACCAAGCCAGATTTTCCAGTGTCCAGATTTTCCTGTTGTTGATTTGCTGCTTTGGATCAACTCTATACTGTTTCCGGACGGACCCATATTCATACATATAGTGTATACAAAAAGTTTTTCCATACAAAGTCGACCACACGTTCATTATTATAACGCACTATTTCGCCTTAGAATGGAACTGAGCTGGATGCATAAATTATTTTTTAAATGCATCGTGCATTATTTAATCAAAAATTAAATTTTTTGAATTTTTTTATGAATGCAAGGATCATAGAAAGTATAAGAACTAGAATAACCAAACTTGGTATCCAGATTCTCCTGAGCCCGAGAAAGGACGAGTTTGTTAATTTTTTCTGATGCACACCTCCCACTCCCCCCTATTCACGATTTTCTATAACTCCAGTAATTGTTAGAATTTTTAACTAAAATTTGGTAGTCACATCCAGTGACTAGTGATTATACATCCGTATACCAAGTTTCATTATGAGCCCAACCTCTGTCCGCAGCTGTATTTGTTGTTGCTTTGTAATGTAAATGTATGTATGGAATATTTTATATTTAATATAATTAATTATTTAAATTTTGTAATACTTGTATATATTTTTTTTGTGGCGTGGTACAGGGTATTTAAGAGTTGAGCCTGCTCGACAAGCCAAATGAATTTTGCTATTTTGCTTAGGGCTTTGACGTTTCGCCGTAGTCATCTTGTCCACTAACGCCTGCTTGGCACCCTCCATGGCAGCATCCATCTTTGCCACTGTCTCCTTTCCCTTTTCCAGGGCATTATAGTTTTACAGATCAGGGTTTTCAGTTCTTTAAGGCGACGAGCAGCATCGCCCTCGCTTTCTTCCACTGATCCTGCGTCATTTTACCGTTGGTATCCTTACCGTCACATCGGTGAAGGTGCTAGGTGCCGTTTTGCAATACCGCTGGCCATCTGCTTTGGTTTTTGAGTTTAGCGGGGCGCTTCTAGGCTGGTACCTAAACTGTATCCGTTTCGGCCGCGCGCTGGCGTTTTATGGTTAGTTGCTCCTAAATAGTTTCTAAAATATGCCTGCATTGAATATGACTTTTGTCAAAATGCTTGCGACCATCCTATATCTTCTCGTCATCCGACGTTTACTTGCTCTTCTCCACTGATGCTGAGCATAGCCCGGATCTGTTGAGTCTTTTTCGTCCTTTGAAGATAGATTGTAGAGGTGTGTCCAGTTGCGAGATGCAGAAGATTTCTCCTCCCCATGCCCGCGGTGGTAGTAGTTTCATCTCTCATCGACGTTTGGACTGACGTCCCAAACCCACTTATGACTACCGTTGTGATGGTTATTTTAGGATAATAACGCTTTGCAATTAATGCGCGCCGCCTATGATCACAAGGATGCTTGATTCAAAAGCCTTAGGTACTGCAACGCAAAGTAAGTGAGCATGTCACTAAATGCTGCCTGTATTGAGCGGAGCAGGATTGGTGGGAGGATAATAATACGCGACAAAGTTTTGTGGATGAATGAACAACGTCGATAGCTCGACTGCTTTATTTATATATAAATTCTTATCCTAGTTCTTATGCTATCGCCTACATACTATCATCGATTCCTTATCTTCTACCATGTGTGCGTACTTTATCAGGTAGCTC